TTTTTTTCCTCTATTGTGTTGTGAGAAACCCTGGGTATGTTGCTCTGACTGGACTTTCAGAATGGTTCCATCAGTCCATGAAAGCTCTGGGTAATCCCTGTTTTCAACCATGCATGAAAATACCCATTGACCTCATATGAGGAAGACAAGCCCATAACTGAGATCTGTGTAGGGCTTAGCCCTTAATGATTTGCAGTTCCCTTGGTATTAAATAGTCCCTGTTAGTTCTGCCAGTCATTTCTGCATCCCTGGTAATGACCAAAGGTTTGTGTCCCATGTCAGTGGGTCCCACAGCTCAATGGGCACCTCTCCTGGGGGAGAGGATGAGATTTCAGGCCTGACTCTCCTCTCAGTGAGGAGGAGAATCTGAACAGGGAAGGTCTGCTTGGGATTTTCAAGAGGATTGTTATTTGGTGAGTGTTGTGTGTGTGTGAACCAAGTGTATCCCTCATGTAAGCCAGGTTGTAAGCCTGGGAAGTTCTACTTGCAGGGAGTTCTGGTGGCCCAGTTTTCACCTCTGCTCTCAGAGTTTTCCTGGGCAGAGCATTTATGAAAAATCCTTGGGTCTGTGAGAAGAGTGTTTCAGAACTTCTTCCCAAGCTGTGCTTCATGTTTCAGCACTGATCAGTGGGAGCTGGTTCTGCCCATCTGGTATTTACAGCCCATTTTTAGAGCTTCCTTAAGCTCAGATGTTGCTGGTGAGCACTGGGCTTCTTGCCATATTCATTTGTGTTTTCTCTAAACCCCATGGAATTCAAGAACAATGAAGTCATCAAAGATCCTCAGTCTTGGTTTGTTGCCCTCCTGTGGGCCCTGCTAAACTGTTGACTTCCCAGTATTGTTGGTCTGGTCTCATTTTCCCTTTCTTCTTGACTTTCAGGAGCAGATAGTCCAACCTGTAGCAATGGAGTCATGTCCACAAAAAGCAAACAGAGTCACAGTAAATACCCAACACTGAGTTCATCATCTTCATCTTCCTCCTCCTCCTCCCCCTCCTCAGTGAACTACTCTGAGTCCAATTCTACAGATTCTACCAAATCCCAGCAGCACAGTAGTACGAGTAACCAAGAAACCAGGTATATTTTTTTATTTCTCTGTAGATGCCTGAAGAGAGTGAGATGGTGGGAGAGGACTCAGTCTGAGGAGCCACAAGGGCACCTGTCCTTGGAACAGAATAACTCTTCATATCTGCTGGCTCCCTGTTATTTCCAGTAGACACGAGCCCGTTCCAGTGCCCGTGCTCTGTCTCAGTCTTGGTGGCTCATCAGGAATATGATGATGCTCTTGTTTCAGACACCAAACTGTCCCATCAAAGGGGTGTCAGCAGAGCCCACCAGGGCAGTTGGCACAGAAACTGTCCCACTGAGCCCATTGTTGTTCCTTCTGCCTCAGCCAGTTGGTCACTGCAGCTCGAGCCATTGCTGGGCTGGTGTGTTGCTCTCCTGAGTGTTCTTCTGAGTGCTGGGCTCTTCTCCCATGTGAATAAGGACAGGACCAGAGGAAGTGGCCTGAAGTTGCAGCAGGGGAGGTTTAAATTGGATACTAGAAAGGATTTCTTTACTGAAAGAGTGGGCAGGATGGAACAGCTGCCCAGGGAGGTGGTGGAGTCACCATCCTTGCATGTATTCAAGAAACGTGTAGATGAGGAACTTCAGGGCAAGCTCTAGTGGCTGAGGTTGTAGGTTGTGGGTTTTTTTGGGGTGGAGTTTTTTGGGGGTTTTTTGGTTGTTTTTTCTTCATGGTTGGACACAGTGATCTCAGATGTCCTTTCCAACCATGACTATTCTGTGATTCTTGGGCCACCTCCATCTGTTTCCAGATGAGCTTCTGAATTGACAGTGGTTTGTTTCACCCTTGAGACAGCAGGTCAGGTTCAGGAAGCCTCCTCCTCCCAGGAGAGGGGTTAGTTCATTTACTGGTTGGTGGAACATCTTGAACTCTGTTGAGGAGAGCCCTGGGACAGGCTGTCCAGGGAGGTGGTGGAGTCTCTTTTGGAGTCTCCTTCTCTGGAGACTTTCAGAACCCACTTGTGTGTGTTCCTGTGGGTTCTACTGCAGGTGACCCTGCTCTAGCAGGGGGTTGGACTGAATTATCTCCAGAGGTCCTTCCCAACCCCACCACTCTGTGACCCTGTGAGAACTGAGCCTCCTTTGGGCTCATTTTCCAGGTTGGTGTTGCTGGGCTGCCCGAGGCCCTGCTGGAGCAGAGATGTCCTGGTGATTAAGAGAACTTGCTAATTGCAGCTGGCAATTACCTTCTAAGCACAGTGTTGAGCAGAGTTTGCAGGACAGTTTGTAGCCTCTATCATGACCCCTGGAGAGCCAGACACCTCCTACCTGAGGGAGAAACACTCCCCTTGCCAAATCATTTGATAATGCTGGGTTTAGGATTCTTTTTTTAATGTAGAGCCCAAGTCCCATAAGATTTTCTCATAATTTCAGTTAATCAGCAATTAATCAGCAGTTAATCAGCAATTAATCAGCAGTCTCATTCAGCCTGTTCTCTTCACCATTCAAGCCTGGAGCCCTTGCACTGATGTCCCTTTTTGCAAGGGTTGGTGCCAAGATTTTCCTCCTCTTGAGGATGTTCTGTTTGGGTCTGACTGTGCTTGCTGACCCCAGGCCCTGCTTCCTGAAGGGAAAATGAGAAGCCCCCACACCTGGAATTCTGACAGGCACTTTCAGGACAAAAACCTGTTTCATCAGTTGCCTTCAGAAGCCTGCAAGAACTTTTGGGAATCTGCATTAGACCATCTGGTTCTCCTGATGTCCTGCTGGCGCCTTTCCTGGCTTACTGGCTGTTAATGGGCTCTTCCTTTCCTCCCTGTCTTACTTAGACATCTGACCTTTCTTTCCTCCTTCCACCTCAGTGACAGTGAGATGGAGATGGAGGCTGAGCACTACCCCAATGGAGTCCTGGAGAATTCATCCACCAGGATCATGAATGGCACCTACAAACATGAAGAGATCCTGCAGACGGATGAATCCAGCATGGGTAGGTCCTCAGAGGCAGGAGGGGTGAAGGGAAATAGAAGGAGCTGGGATCAGAGGTTGAAATTGTGATCGGATCCGAGGAAAAAACATGTCCTTTGGGTTTCTTTCCTCACTCAGTGAAGGAAGTTCTCGAGATGCCTGTTTCACAGGGAAGATGAATCTGTCCTGGAACTAAAGCTGGGTCTGGTTTGTCACAGCCTTGCAGCAGAGCTGGTGATGTTGTGGAGCAGGGAAAGCAGCAGGAGGCAAAGGTCTGTTCAGTGTTGGTCGTGGATTCCAGCTCAGAGCAGCCCTGAGATTCAAGTTAAACATGAGGAGAAACTTCTTCACTCTGAGGGTGACAGAGCCCTGGGACAGGCTGCCCAGAGAGGTGGTGGAGTCTCCTTCTCTGGAGACATTCCAAACCCACCTGGATGTGTTCCTGTGGGATCTACTGTAGGTGGTCCTGCTCTAACATGGGGGTTGGACTAGGTGATCTCCAGAGGTCCCTTCCAACCCCCACCACTGTGACACTTCTCCAGCAGAGGACCTGCACTGAGCTGGGCTGTCTGGGGCCTGGCTGTGGTGTCCTCAGCACAGCTGGAACTGTCTCTTTGGTGGGTGCTTTAGCTGGGAGAGAGGGGATGAGTTAGCTACACTACTTCTGAAGCTCAGTGTTCCTCCAGTACCAGTGGCTGTTGTGGCCACCTCATACTGGGGAGATGGTGTTGGCATCTCTGCATTTTTTTTTGAGTCCAGGGTTTGTTTAAGCGGGGGTCTCCATGTGGGCTGTGTCACACAGGGAAAGGTAATGCAGCCCCAGTCACATGTTCCTTCTCAGAACACTTGGTTTGTAGGTGTTCCTCAAGCATTAAACAAACCAAGGTCAAATTTCCCTGTACCTACCAGGGGCTGTGAAAAAACCCACTATTGAAGGGATCAGAAGAAGCTCTTATTGGGATAAACTCAGAGCTTGGAGCAGCTCCCTGCTCCAGAGGGGAAGGAGTTCATGGGGAGCATGGAACCTCCCTTGGCATGGTCAGCAGGTCAAGGGAGGAGATTCTTCTCCCCTGCTCTGCTCTGGTGAGAGCCCACCTGGAGAACTGTGCACAGCTCTGGAGCCTCCAACACAAGAAGGACATGGAGTTCCTGGAGAAAGTCCAGAGGAGGCCACGGAGGTGATCCAAGGGTTGGAGCAGCTCTGCTCTGGAGACAGGCTGGGAGAGTTGGGGTGTTCAGCCTGGAGAAGAGAAGGCTCCAGGGAGACCTTAGAGCAGCTTCCAGTGCCTGAAGGGGCTCCAGGAAAGCTGGGGAGGGACTTGGGACAAGGGCAGGCAGGGAGAGGACAAGGGGGAAGGGATGAAAACTGGAAGAGGGAGATTGAGGTGAGACATGAGGAGGGAATTGTGGAGTGTGAGGGTGGTGAGAGCCTGGCCCAGGTTGCCAGGGAAGCTGTGGCTGCCCCATCCCTGGCAGTGTTGAAGGGCAGGTTGGATGGGGCTTGGAGCAGCCTGGGCTGGTGGGAGGTGTCCCTGCCCATGCAGGGAGTTGGGACTGGATGATCTTTGAGGTCCCTTCCAACCCAAACCAGTCTGGGGTTCCATGACATGGAGTGGGCAGTGGGACGAATGAGAGATGGTGGTAACTTCTCCACTGCCTTTCCCCTAGAAGACAGCTGTCCCCAGAGGCAGCTCTGTGGGGGGAACCACGCAGCCACCGAGAGGATGATCCAGTTTGGGCGGGAGCTGCAGGTGCTGAGCGAGCAGCTCTGCCGGGAGTACGGGAAGAACACGGTGCACAAAAAGATGCTGCAGGTGAGGCTGGGCCTGGTGGTGCCTCACAGCAGCTCCGGGGGCCTGGGCTGGGCTGGAGGGTCTGTTGCAGAGCTCGGGGTGGTCCCACTTTAGCAGCTGGTGAGGAAGAAGGGACCTACGTGGGGATCAACACTCGGTGACCGCAGAGCTCTGGGCACAGGGGACACATGTACAGCCCTGCCTGCCCTTGCTTGTCTTCTCCCCAGGTTCTCTCTGCCCAACTCTCCATGTGGGCTCCCCTGCCACGAGGGGCCACCCTCTTTAACCCCCTGTCTTGGTGGCCCCGTGTGGTCCTTGCTGCCTTGCAGAAAAGGGCCATTTCTTTCCAGCAGGTGGCACCTGCCACCTCTCTGGGCACAGGGGACACATGTACAGCCCTGCCTGCCCTTGCTTGTCTTCTCCCCAGGTTCTCTCTGCCCAACTCTCCATGTGGGCTCCCCTGCCACGAGGGGCCACCCTCTTTAACCCCCTGTCTTGGTGGCCCCGTGTGGTCCTTGCTGCCTTGCAGAAAAGGGCCATTTCTTTCCAGCAGGTGGCACCTGCCACCTCAGCACTGGCAGGAGCAGCCTCAGCTGAGGACTTGGGGTGTCCCACCATGTTTGCAGCCATACCTGACCTCATGGTGCCTTCTCCTCTCTCCCACAGGATGCATTTAGCTTGTTAGCTTACTCAGACCCTTGGAACTGCCCCGTCGGTCAGCAGCTGGACCCCATCCAGAGGGAACCTGTGTGTGCTGCTCTTAATAGTGCTATTTTGGGTAAGACTTGGTTCCCAGGTGAGCTCTGCCCACTGGATGGACCTGCTCTTGGGGGCTGTCTGGTGCCAGGAGAGCCCATGGGCCTTAGAGTTCAGAAATGTTGAGCTTTTGCCTCTTCCTGTTGCTGGACCCTGAGGGGGCAGGGATGCAGGCAGGAGGGCACAGATCCACCTGGGCTGATGGCTCCATTCCTGGCATCTGTCAGTGCTGCTTCCAAGGATTCTTCTTGGGCTTTTCCTCCCCTGCTTACTGAGGAGGCCAAGGTCTCTTTGCTGCATTTCCTGCCCCTCTTCCCTCTTGCTCTAAACCCTCCTCAGTCACTTTGCTGGCCTGTGTTCCTTCGATGTTCCTGGATGTGTTCAAGGGCAGGTTGGATGGGGTTTTGAGCAACCTGGTCTAGTGGAAAGTGTCCCTGCCCATATCAGGTGGGGTGGAACTAGATGATCTTTAAGGTCCCTTTCCAACCTAAACTCTTCTATGGTTCTGTGATTACCAGGGCTCTTTTCCATGCTGTTGGGTTGCCAGAGTTTTGTCGTGGCAGGGAAGGCAGTTGCTGTGTTCACAGAATCACAGACTCACCAAGGCTGGAAAAGACCTTTAAGATCCTCAAGTCCAGCCTATGACCTGACACCACCACATCTCCAGACCATGGCACCAAGTGCCACATCCAGCCTTTCCTTGGACACCTCCAGGGATGGTGCCTCCACCACTTCCCTGGGCAGTCCATCCCAATGTCTAATCACCCTCCATGAGGAAGTGCTTCCTGATATCCAACCTAAACCTCCCCTGGAGCAGCTTCAGGCCAGGCCCTCTCATCCTGTCACTGGTTGCCTGGGACAAGAGCCCAACCCCACCTGAGCACAACCTCCCTTCAGGTAGATGTAGAGAGTGAGAAGGTCCCCCCTGAGTCTCTCCTCCAGCTGTTGCAGCAAGAGAAGTGAAGCAGGTTTCCATAGTGTTGGTTCTGAAGTAGAGAGGGGCCATAAATCCAGTTACCTTGGAGCTCATGGTGGACATGCAGGGTTGAACGGGTCTGTCTTCCCCTGGAGTGTTGCCTCTGCATCTCCCATCATGTGCTGTGCCTGCTGGGGCCCAGAGAACCTGGTCAGACATGGAACCAGAGCTGTGGTTCAGGGCTCAGGGCCCAGCCCTGTTGCTCTGTCCCTTCTGGTTTTAACTGCGCTGAGAAGACCCTGCTCCTTGCAGATCTGGTTCTAGACTGGTTTGCTTCAGCTGTTAAGACAGCTGCCTTTTTGCTGAGGAGCTTTGCTCTTTCTGTCAGCAGGAGGGATCATGGTTGGATCCAGGTGTGAGTAGTCCCTCCTCTGTGTCCTCTCTAGTCCCCAGAGCTGAATGTCTAAGCCTGCTCTTCCATTTTCCCTGGACAAGCACATTCCTTGGCCCAGCTACTTGTTGTTGTTTACTCTCCTGTCCTGGACCTGGTTCATCCTCACATTGAGTGTGTCAGAAAGAGATGTAGAATCATAGAATGATGGGAGATTTAGAGATCATTAATTTAAAGATGATCTACTGGGGAAAGGAACAGCTTGATGGACCAACCCATGAGGACTCCTGTTCTGTCTGAGTACAGGAGCAGAAATTCCATGGTGTGGGAGAGAGGGTCCCTTCAGGGTCCCTTCCCCTGACAGTCAGCATGGGTGGGTGTCCAGCAGGGTGGCTCAGTTCTAGATGTTGTTTATCCAGTGTATGAGGAGGATGGACAAGGTACTGAGAGGTGTCACCAGAGAGATGTGAAGGATGGTGTCTGGATGAGCTTCATCACACAGGTTACAGGACACCTTGTCTGGCTCTGCTGAGGGTTCCCTCTTGTGCATATAGGAAATGTGGAGCTGGGAGGTGATCAGTGAGTGAGTTTGTCCAAGGCTTGGACTAGTGTGTAGACATGCACAGGTGGTGGAGATGGAGAGGTTGCTTCTCACTTGGTGCCAGTTTCTCCTGCCTTGACCTCCCATGCTCTGATCTCTCATGCTTTGAGGGTTTTCTGGCAGACACTGAGAGAGAAGTTCCATCCACTGCCTTTGTCATGCACTGCCCACCACAACAGTACTTGCTCAAAGGCCCTGGTGAGCAGTGGCCCCTTGTGGGACCTGTCCTGGGTAGCAGGGGGTGTGGAGGAGCAGTGATGCTCAGGAGTAACCTCCATCCAGAGCCAGGGATGCTGGGCTTGGTGCCCAGGAGGGACCGAGAGGGACCCGCGCGTGGGGGAGGCGGCGCGGCCGGGACGGCCTTGCTGAGCAGCTCCCTCTGTTTGTCACCACAGAATCTCAGAACCTGCCAAAGCAGCCCCCGTTGATGCTTGCCCTGGGCCAGGCCTCGGAGTGTCTGCGGCTCATGGCTCGTGTGGGCTTGGGCTCCTGCTCCTTTGCCAGAGTAGACGACTATTTGCACTGACCAGCAGAGCCGGACGGAGCTGACGTCCTCCAGGGCTGCCCTTCAGATCACCTCCATCGTGAGTGTGTTCCCTGTGCCTTTAGAAAGGAAAACACCTGGACTCAGGGTCAGAAGAGAGTGTCTCATTTCCTGCCGTTCAATCTCTGCACCACCAGGTGACCCAGCTCTGGCCATGGGAAGTGCAGGCAGTGGCTCTGGACATGTCCCACGTCTCCAGATGAGCTGCACCCCTGCCTCCCATTCCCTTTCCAGATGCACCCCAGCTCTTTCTGCTACTTGTCCCAGCAGGGACCAGCCCCAGCCCTCCCTTCCACTCTGACTCCAGCAAGACTGGTGGAGTTGGGGCCATTTAACACTGCCTTTGAGATGCCCATGTCTTCTGTTCCCAGCTGGCAAATAGCACACCAGAACTTTCTTCCTTATTGCTCTCTTCCCCAGTGTGCATCATTATTAAATGTGTCCTGATTACCCTGACTGGTGCCAGGTGCCACCTCCCAGCTGTGAGAGCTTTGGTCAGGGACATGCATCACCCCAGTCCCTTCCCCTTCCCTTTGCACAGCTACAAGCCACCTATGAGCTGGCAACGTGTGCCTGAAGCCCAGAAACCAGCTGTGTCCTGAGCTGCATCAAAAGCAATGTGGCCAGCAGGTCAAGGAAGGTGATTCTTCCCCTTTACTCTGCTCTCATAAGACCCCATCTGGAGAACTGTGTCTAGTTGTCTAGTTCTGGAGCCCCCAGCATAAGAAGGACATGGAGCAAGTCCAGAGGAGGCCACAGAGATGATGGGAGGGCTGGAGCAGCTCTGCTCTGGAGCCAGGCTGGGAGAGTTGGGGTGTTCAGCCTGGAGAAGAGAAGGCTCCAGGGAGACCTTAGAGCACCTTCCAGTGCCTGAAGGGGCTCCAGGAAAGCTGGGGAGGGACTTGGGACAAGGGCAGGGAGGGAGAGGACAAGGGGGAAGGGATGAAAACTGGAAGAGGGAGATTGAGGTGAGACATGAGGAGGGAATTGTGGAGTGTGAGGGTGGTGAGAGCCTGGCCCAGGTTGCCAGGGAAGCTGTGGCTGCCCCATCCCTGGCAGTGTTGAAGGGCAGGTTGGATGGGGCTTGGAGCAACCTGGGCTGGTGGGAGGTGTCCCTGCCCATGCAGGGAGTTGGGACTGGATGATCTTTGAGGTCCCTTCCAACCCAAACCAGTCTGGGGTTCCATGACATGGAGTGGGCAGTGGGACGAATGAGAGATGGTGGTAACTTCTCCACTGCCTTTCCCCTAGAAGACAGCTGTCCCCAGAGGCAGCTCTGTGGGGGGAACCACGCAGCCACCGAGAGGATGATCCAGTTTGGGCGGGAGCTGCAGGTGCTGAGCGAGCAGCTCTGCCGGGAGTACGGGAAGAACACGGTGCACAAAAAGATGCTGCAGGTGAGGCTGGGCCTGGTGGTGCCTCACAGCAGCTCCGGGGGCCTGGGCTGGGCTGGAGGGTCTGTTGCAGAGCTCGGGGTGGTCCCACTTTAGCAGCTGGTGAGGAAGAAGGGACCTACGTGGGGATCAACACTCGGTGACCGCAGAGCTCTGGGCACAGGGGACACATGTACAGCCCTGCCTGCCCTTGCTTGTCTTCTCCCCAGGTTCTCTCTGCCCAACTCTCCATGTGGGCTCCCCTGCCACGAGGGGCCACCCTCTTTAACCCCCTGTCTTGGTGGCCCCGTGTGGTCCTTGCTGCCTTGCAGAAAAGGGCCATTTCTTTCCAGCAGGTGGCACCTGCCACCTCAGCACTGGCAGGAGCTGCCCCAGCTGAGGACTTGGGGTGTCCCACCATGTTTGCAGCCATACCTGACCTCATGGTGCCTTCTCCTCTCTCCCACAGGATGCATTTAGCTTGTTAGCTTACTCAGACCCTTGGAACTGCCCCGTCGGTCAGCAGCTGGACCCCATCCAGAGGGAACCTGTGTGTGCTGCTCTTAATAGTGCTATTTTGGGTAAGACTTGGTTCCCAGGTGAGCTCTGCCCACTGGATGGACCTGCTCTTGGGGGCTGTCTGGTGCCAGGAGAGCCCATGGGCCTTAGAGTTCAGAAATGTTGAGCTTTTGCCTCTTCCTGTTGCTGGACCCTGAGGGGGCAGGGATGCAGGCAGGAGGGCACAGATCCACCTGGGCTGATGGCTCCATTCCTGGCATCTGTCAGTGCTGCTTCCAAGGATTCTTCTTGGGCTTTTCCTCCCCTGCTTACTGAGGAGGCCAAGGTCTCTTTGCTGCATTTCCTGCCCCTCTTCCCTCTTGCTCTAAACCCTCCTCAGTCACTTTGCTGGCCTGTGTTCCTTCGATGTTCCTGGATGTGTTCAAGGGCAGGTTGGATGGGGTTTTGAGCAACCTGGACTAGTGGAAAGTGTCCCTGCCCATATCAGGTGGGGTGGAACTAGATGATCTTTAAGGTCCCTTTCCAACCTAAACTCTTCTATGGTTCTGTGATTACCAGGGCTCTTTTCCATGCTGTTGGGTTGCCAGAGTTTTGTCGTGGCAGGGAAGGCAGTTGCTGTGTTCACAGAATCACAGACTCACCAAGGCTGGAAAAGACCTTTAAGATCCTCAAGTCCAGCCTATGACCTGACACCACCACATCTCCAGACCATGGCACCAAGTGCCACATCCAGCCTTTCCTTGGACACCTCCAGGGATGGTGCCTCCACCACTTCCCTGGGCAGTCCATCCCAATGTCTAATCACCCTCCATGAGGAAGTGCTTCCTGATATCCAACCTAAACCTCCCCTGGAGCAGCTTCAGGCCAGGCCCTCTCATCCTGTCACTGGTTGCCTGGGACAAGAGCCCAACCCCACCTGAGCACAACCTCCCTTCAGGTAGATGTAGAGAGTGAGAAGGTCCCCCCTGAGTCTCTCCTCCAGCTGTTGCAGCAAGAGAAGTGAAGCAGGTTTCCATAGTGTTGGTTCTGAAGTAGAGAGGGGCCATAAATCCAGTTACCTTGGAGCTCATGGTGGACATGCAGGGTTGAACGGGTCTGTCTTCCCCTGGAGTGTTGCCTCTGCATCTCCCATCATGTGCTGTGCCTGCTGGGGCCCAGAGAACCTGGTCAGACATGGAACCAGAGCTGTGGTTCAGGGCTCAGGGCCCAGCCCTGTTGCTCTGTCCCTTCTGGTTTTAACTGCGCTGAGAAGACCCTGCTCCTTGCAGATCTGGTTCTAGACTGGTTTGCTTCAGCTGTTAAGACAGCTGCCTTTTTGCTGAGGAGCTTTGCTCTTTCTGTCAGCAGGAGGGATCATGGTTGGATCCAGGTGTGAGTAGTCCCTCCTCTGTGTCCTCTCTAGTCCCCAGAGCTGAATGTCTAAGCCTGCTCTTCCATTTTCCCTGGACAAGCACATTCCTTGGCCCAGCTACTTGTTGTTGTTTACTCTCCTGTCCTGGACCTGGTTCATCCTCACATTGAGTGTGTCAGAAAGAGATGTAGAATCATAGAATGATGGGAGATTTAGAGATCATTAATTTAAAGATGATCTACTGGGGAAAGGAACAGCTTGATGGACCAACCCATGAGGACTCCTGTTCTGTCTGAGTACAGGAGCAGAAATTCCATGGTGTGGGAGAGAGGGTCCCTTCAGGGTCCCTTCCCCTGACAGTCAGCATGGGTGGGTGTCCAGCAGGGTGGCTCAGTTCTAGATGTTGTTTATCCAGTGTATGAGGAGGATGGACAAGGTACTGAGAGGTGTCACCAGAGAGATGTGAAGGATGGTGTCTGGATGAGCTTCATCACACAGGTTACAGGACACCTTGTCTGGCTCTGCTGAGGGTTCCCTCTTGTGCATATAGGAAATGTGGAGCTGGGAGGTGATCAGTGAGTGAGTTTGTCCAAGGCTTGGACTAGTGTGTAGACATGCACAGGTGGTGGAGATGGAGAGGTTGCTTCTCACTTGGTGCCAGTTTCTCCTGCCTTGACCTCCCATGCTCTGATCTCTCATGCTTTGAGGGTTTTCTGGCAGACACTGAGAGAGAAGTTCCATCCACTGCCTTTGTCATGCACTGCCCACCACAACAGTACTTGCTCAAAGGCCCTGGTGAGCAGTGGCCCCTTGTGGGACCTGTCCTGGGTAGCAGGGGGTGTGGAGGAGCAGTGATGCTCAGGAGTAACCTCCATCCAGAGCCAGGGATGCTGGGCTTGGTGCCCAGGAGGGACCGAGAGGGACCCGCGCGTGGGGGAGGCGGCGCGGCCGGGACGGCCTTGCTGAGCAGCTCCCTCTGTTTGCCCCCACAGAATCTCAGAACCTGCCAAAGCAGCCCCCGTTGATGCTTGCCCTGGGCCAGGCCTCGGAGTGTCTGCGGCTCATGGCTCGTGTGGGCTTGGGCTCCTGCTCCTTTGCCAGAGTAGACGACTATTTGCACTGACCACACACACACACACACACACACACACACACACACACACACACACACACACACACACACACACACACACACACACACACACACACACACACACACACACACACACACACACACACACACACACACACACACACACACACACACACACACACAGGCTGTCTGGGCAAGGACGTTGGCTGTTCCTGCCCCCAGGAACCACGGGCAGATCTTCCCTGTCTCCTGCCACGGCTCCAGCGACACTCGCCGTTCCTGCTGGTTGCTCCGACGTAGCCTCCGATGTAGGGATTTCTCTTGGCTTTGATTTGAGTTGTTTCTCATGGATCCACCAGTATTTGAGCTGGAGAGTTTTGCTGAGCTGGTTTCTGCTGATATACTTGAGGAAGCTCATCAAGTTGGTGACAGCTTGTTCTTTTCTTCCCTCCTCCCTCCATCGTGCACATGCAGCGTCATCTTCTGTGCTGGTTCCTTGAACTCTTCTCGCAGTGGCAGCTCAGAGGGATTTAATTTTTTTTTTTAAATTTATTTTATTTGAATCCTGTTTATTAAAAAGGTCTCTTCCACCTCCACAAAGTTACCGATGTATTTATTGCCCAAAGACACAGTCCCAGCCATCCACAGGAGACCTGGTGAGGTAGGTCCTGGCACGGGGAATCCGAGGAGATCGGTCCTTGGTGCCCACCTCTCAACGTGCCCGAGGCTCTCAAACCCTTGTCTGTGGGAGTGGGAAGAGCAGAAGACTTGACATGGCCTCTGGTGGTGGCTGCGCTGTAGAAGCATCTCATAGCCCTGGGAAATAAGTGAATCCAGCTGTGGCAGCAGCTGGAGGGACAGGGCTGGTGAACTCGAAGTCATCTCACACTGTGCTGGTGGCATCAGGTCACATCAGCCTGCAGGAACCACCTGTGGGTGCTGCTTTGTTGAGCTCTCAGGTTTTGTGGTCAATGCCCCTTTTTCTTCAAGGCTCTGTCACTCAGACCCAATCATACCAGTATTTACTGACCCCCCCATGACCCAGATCTTCTGAAATTTGTGAGGGCTTCTGAATTTTGCAAGTGTCTGGAGAACACTGGGCTGTGCTCCCCCTCCACGTGCCATGAGCAGGTGCTGGGTCAGGGTCAGTGCTACCTTGGGGAGGTCTCTTCTGGCCAGAAGGGAGCAGCCAAGTTTCCTGAAGGATTCTTCAGAAGCTTATTTTAGGTCCAGAAGCATCCAGGAGGATCCGTGGGTGAGTAACCTCCAAGGAGGATGGACCAGCATCCCTGCTGCTGTATGTGTCGGGAGGAGGGCCCTGAGTGCTGCCAGGCTTCTGCCTTTCAAACCCTCTGCCTGTTCCTCAACGTCCACGTTGATGTGGTGAGGCCCCATGTTTGCACCTTTGGCTGCCCCGTTGGGCCTCAGGGTCAGTCTGGCCACGTGAGAGGAGCTCAAGTTCTGCACCAAATGAGTTGTAGCTCAGTAGCTCTGGGGAGGACCCAGGGGAGCTCAGACCCAATGTGGATTTTATTGCTGGTTTGTGATTTTTTTCTCTTTTTTCTTATTTTTTGGAAGGGTTGGTGAAGATGAGCAGGTTGTATTAAAACTGGCCCTTAGAATGGAGATTGGCCTGGGCCTGGGCTTCAAGCTGAGGGAGAACTCGTGTGCCATTGAGGAAAGGAAGGTGATGGCCCAGAGTTTGAAGGACTTGCTGCATTTGCAGCCTGGATTTAGAATCATTAAGGTTGGGAAAGACCTCCAAGATCATCAAGTCATTCCCAGCTGGAATGCAAGGTCTGAACTCAAGGCAGAGCAGGGGTGCAGGTGGCCCCTGACCTGCAGAAGGCTGTGGCAGCACAGATGCAAGAGGGTGTTGGAGGTGGTTGGCAGAGCTGGTGGTGAAGGTTTTGAAGCAGGGTTGGAGCTCAGTGGTCTAGAAAACAGGCAGCAGGAGGTTTGGAGATGGAGGAGATGTTTTTATTCCATCAACTCGTGTAGAGAATTCACCTGGCACATCTGAGACTTCTCTTTCAGTTCTGAGGAGCAGCTCACGTGCCTGAAAGCTCCTCTTTGATTGACTTCCAGTTCTGCTGGTTGTCCTAGTGATGGATGTTACTCCAGCCTGCAGTCCTCTCACCTGTCTAGAGTATGTTCAGCCCAAGACACCTGCTAGAGGATGTGGTGGGTACTTGTGGGTTGGCTGCTTGTGGTGGCTGCTTGTGGGTACTTGGGTTGGACATCCTCTAGTAGGTTGCTCCAGCTTGCTTCTGCAGTTGGACATCTCCTTCATAGCAGCACCATCTTGTTCTCCTTCTGAGTTTTCTTTGATCCTTCTCTCCCTTCAAGCCAAGGCTCATTGCCATGTGTCCCCACTTGGTCACTCAGCAAAGCTGTCCTGACCATCCTAGAACTTTTTTGTTGTTTTGGTTTTCCTTTAACTACCAAAACACTCCCAAGAGTTGTTCCTGGAGACCTGGTTGTTCTGGTGCCAAGAAATGTGTGATCCTTGGGACCCTCCCTGTGGTAGAAACCATCTTGCTGTTATGTCAAGATTGGTGCTGAGAGGCCACACTCTTAATTGATTGGTTAATTATCTTAATGATGATTAATGTGCAGGGCTGAGTCACCCTTCCTGCTCCTGGTGCTTCATGCTCTCCAAGCAGTGGGACAAGGTTGAGGAGTTCTTCCCTTTTCACTTGACCCACTTCCTGACAGGCCTCCCAGCTGTAACCAACACCCAGTTTCTCACCAGCTTCTGGGCCTGATGTCTTCTTCCTGGTTTTGGGGGGAGGGCAGAGGCTTCTTTTGTTCACAAAAGCATCCTTGTGGTTTCACTCGTGGGTTCTACTGGTTGTGGTCAGGGCTTGGTGAGGGGAAGAGAAATCTGTTTGTGGTGTGTGGTGGAGCTACAGGCTTCAACCTGTCTCTGATTCCTAGAAGACATTTCTGGCTTGGTTCTCCCAGGTTGTTTTGCAAAGTCTCTTTGTCTCTGGGTGTCTCTGGCTGCTCCTTGGTGGTTCCTGTCAGCTGAGACTTGATAGAATCGTGCCCATTTTGAAAAAATGGAACAGAACTAAATTAAACAGAGGCCTTGACCTTGGGGTGTGGTTGCTCACCCAGCCAGGCCTTCACACACCTCACAAGTTCCTTTTCTGCAGGTGGTTTGGGATTTGTCACTCCAAGTGCCTCGTGCTTTGCTGGGAAACAGAGGAGCCAGGGACAGCTCAGCTGAGACTCTGCTTCACCTGGGCAGTCCCTCAGTGTCACTTCTCCCATGAGTCCTTCAGGAAAGCCATGGGAAGGGTTGTGTCACCTGGAGGAGAAGCTGCTGGCGAGGGTGACAAGGTCTCCCCTTCATCACAGGAGGTTGACATGTCAGTTGCTCTGCTGGGCTGACTTGAGAGCCTGGGGGAGGAGTGTCCAGACCACAGCAGACACTGCTCGCAGGGAACATTTCTCCACACAGCCCCAGGAGGAGCTTTCTGGCTGTGATGTGACATCCTTCCCAGGACGTGTGAAGTGCTGCCACAACTGAACCTCTTCCAGCTCTGCCCTGTCTGCCCACTCAGAGGGTCTCAGCTCTCCTCTCCTCAGCCCAGTGGCACCACCAGGGAGCTGTAAGAGGAGGCACCATCCAGCTGTGAGCTCTGGACACCAACCACCTGCCTTCCTCATTCCAGCCTGGCTGCAAGGGCCTCCCAGAAGGACAGCACTGCCCAGGGACCTGTGCTTTCAGGGCTGGTGGCCTGCAGCCCTGCACATCAGGGGCTTTGGTTTTGAGCCCAGTGCCCTGATAACATTGTGGGACCTCCAGGCCCAGAGCCTTGGTCCAAGTGACCTTCAGGGGTTCTGCAAAGAGTTTCATGGAGCTGAACTGCATCTCCAGGCTTTTCTCACCATGGACAAGGTTTGTGCTGTCCCCACAGGTGCTGAGTGAGGGCTGTCACAGAGAGTCACTGAATCATTTTGGTTAGAAAAGACCTTCAAGATCACCAAGTCCAACCCTTTACCCAGCCCTGCCAAGGCCACCAGTGCCCCATGTCCCTCAGCTCCACATCTACAGGGCTTGGAAACCCCTCCAGGGATGGGGACTCCCCCCTGGGCAGCCTGGGCCAGGGCCTGACAACACTCTGGAGGAAGAAGTTCCCAAGATCCTAAACCTCCCTGGGCAACTTGAGGCCATTTCGTCTTGTCCTGTGTCTGGGATAAGAAACCAAGTACTTCAGAGTGAGATGAGGGATCAGCTCAGGAGCTGGAGTCACTGGAGTAGCTGGGATAATGGTTTCAAGAGCTGTATCCACCTTGTATGCCTTGTGGTCCAGCCCGTGACCATCTTAGTGGCCTCTGCTGGCTACATTCCAGTTTGTGGACATCTCTCCTGTTCCAGCCTAGTCCTCTTGGTTCCTCTTGTTTCTCTTGAAACCAGATTGTTCCAGATGATTCTTCTTGCTGCTCTGCCATCCTGTCCTGGCAGCCTTGGAACAGAAGCTCATTCAAGACTTAGAGGGTTGAGCCCTTGGTCAAGCTCTCCTGCTTGGTGGAGCAGGGAGGGCAGCAGCCTCTCCCCTACATCTTCAGATGTGTTCTCAGAGCCAGTTTGTCCTGGGAAACCTTCCTGCTACCAGGTCTCCCTTCTTGCTCCTTTGCCTCCTGCAATCCCAGTGTTGTCCCACTTGGGTGACCACTAGATGTGGGGTTTTGTCTCTGTGCAGGATCCCATCAGCTGGGCTGGCTGCAGCACCTCTGCTCTTCTTGTGGAGCCTGGTTAGATATTAATCCTTTGCTAGCAGAAAGGAGAGGGACGTCCCAGGTGAAGCTCTGGGTCCATGGCACCCAGCTGTTGGGGAGGTTGTCCAGTGGCTGCTCTGCAGTCCCCCAGGTGTCCCAGAGCTCATTGCTCTGTGGGTGTTGGGGCTGGACCTGGTTCCCTTCCCAACATCCTGACCTGCTCTGGACACCAGGAGGTGGGAGAGGGGCCCCTTTGGGAGGATCATCCCTCCTGGCTGCCTACACCTGGGGTTTCACCT